AATGATTTAAAAAGTGATCAGGTCTTGGCATTTAGTGTGTGTGTGTGGTGTGTATTTGTATTTGTATATGTATATATATGCATGTGCATATACACACACACACACACACCACATATATGCATTATTTGGTTTGAAACTTCAGTTTTTATCAGTTACAGATAAGGTATAAGTTTAGATTTATGTAAGCATATAAACCCATTGGAATCTTTGCACATTTCAGAGGCAGGGTGATTTCATGCAGCAGTTCAAGGTAGGGGAAGATAACTTTACTGGTGATAAGATTTGCTTCCCTCTTTCATCTCTTTCTGCTTTAGAGACTAGAGTAAAAATATGCCTATGTCTAGAAATATTTTCTGTCATACAACTATGGCATTGAATATATCCCTGACATCTGAATTGAAATAGAGCTAAGTGCAATGTAAGAGATGGAATCTGTTCTTGAGAAAGTTATTGATGCTTCTGTGCATTCTTTTTTCTCTTGCAGGTGGGAGGAGTCTATTCTTATGACTGCAGTTTTGGTCATGTCCCTAATGTTGAGCTCATGAAGTTCATTGCAATGGCAACATTTGGCACATACCTTTCCACGTGTCCTGAAGCTGAGCCTTCTAGTTTAGACATGAATGTCTACCATAAAGCTTTTCTTCCATATTCTTTTCTCCGCAGTGGAGAATCCCTGAATCCTGAATATTACTGTGGTAAGCTTACCTTCCATTGAATTAGATGCATTTTCTCAGTCTTATCTACCCTATCTTCATCGGTGCCAGGGAGACAATCTTGGGTTAGATTGAAATGTGGGACTGTATAATAGTCCATTTTTGCAATGTAGTGAGAATAATGGATTTTGCAAGAGATGAAAGGATGAATAGATGGGTCTCTATGGTTCTATGTGTTCTTTGTCACATTCAACAGTTTTGTAAGCTGAATTCGCCAAAGCTTAAACAAAAATGGTACTGTTAGTTATAGAGACTTTGAAGGGATTAGTTTTTTTCTTCAGATGCTCTGAGGATTATAGTGATTTGCCTAGTCTTCATTATTCTTCTTGCAGGTGATGATGTATAGGATTAGGAAAAACAGGGCTATGTTTAATATTTTTCACAGTTGCATTTATCACCCATGTGCATAGGGACATAATGAAGTCCTGCTGTGCTTGCATTTGTACAATGTACAATTCCTGCTGTGCTTGCATTTGTACCTACAGTGAAAAACATTTGGAAATACATGTTCCAGCCCTTGGTTTGACCTTAGTGAAATTTTCCAAATGGGAGGAATAAAAGGTATCAACTAGGATGTTCCAAGTCTTGTTGAATAAACAGAATGGTGCAAGATGTCCAAAGTTGTGTGACTATTGAAATCATGGCTTGAAAAGAGAAGTGCCCCTATTTTTGAATCAGATTCAATCACCTACTTTTGAGACATATTACATATCTCCTTTTTATACGTTCTAAGGATTTCAGTCCTATTTTATGCATAACAAAAACAGTTCTTAAAATAAGAAATGGCTGTCTTTGCAGTATGAACAAAAGGCAATTTAGATGCTAACGTTATTCAGAAAGGTAACTGTATTAATTTGTTGTAGCAAAAACACTGAAAAGTTTGAATAAATTGTTAGGATACAGGTTTTACAGAGTATAGTTGAGTTTGCTTATGTGGAATAGTAAATTGAGGGAAGAATGTAGAAATCACCCATGAATGATTTGTTGGGTAAATGAATGAAGATCAATTTAATCACAAACAGTTGAGCTGAAATTTATAAGAATGGTGCAACATTGTTCCTTATTATTAAACAAGGTTTTAGAAAAAGATTATGTAACAGGCAAGGGTTAAACTCCCCTATCTTTTCTCTCA